AGAAATCATTCGGTTTTCAGAGAAAAATTCTTCATACAGGTTCATGGCACAGCCATGGGCCCTAAGAATGCCTGCAGTTATGCAGATCTTGCCATGGGTGAAATAGATTTTCAGGCTAAGTTCTCTGGCCACATAAAGCCGGCTTTGTGGTGGCGATATCGTGATGATGTTTTTGATCTCTGGAAACAAGGCCTTCCGGCACTGCATGAGTGTACTGAATTTATAAACTCTTTGTATCCCACTATAAAATTCGAATTAGTTTTTTCCGAACGAGAGCTCCATTTGCTAGATTTAACTCTACAGCTTATCGAGGGTTTTATTAGGACAGACGTTTACTGAAAGCCAACTGATAGTCACCTGTATCTCCCACCATCAAGTGCTCATCCTAAACACGTTTTCAAAGCTATTCCTTACAGTGTGGCGATGAGGTTACAAAGAAATTGCTCCGAACAAGCTTTTCTTGTCCAGAGAATAACCGAATACAAGAGTTATCTGGTTACTCAGGGTTACCCTTCCAAATTAGTGGATGACCAGTTTCGTAAGGCTTCTACCATACCTAGAAGTGATCTACTTAGGACTCATACCAGATCGAAGAGGAAATTATTCCCATTTGTGACCACATTTAATTCAAATTTACCTGAGGTAAGTCGCATCATTAAAAAACATCTGGGTATTTTGGAATCCAATCCCAAGTTAAAAGAGCTTTTTCCTTCAAATTCTATCATAGCATCCTTTCGCAGATCTAAAAGCCTTAAAGAATTGTTGGCGCCATCCCGTTATGGCCCTTACATTGAAAGCGAAGGGGTTGCTGAGGTCAAGGGATGTTTTAAATGTAATAGAACAAGATGCGATCTTTGTCGCAACTTCTTGGTTGAATCTAATTCCTTTTTAAATTTTAAAAAACCATTCTTTCGTAAATAGTTAGTCAGTTCAGGCCAGCCAAAGGGCCGACAAGGTCCTTTGTCTTAAAGATTTCCTTAGAACAAAGCTCGCGCATGTGTACTGAAGACATTACCTGCGTACCCCTGGTAAGATTTTGACCAAGATTAGTGTATGATACATGGTGTGCACTCGAACTGAGTATCACCACACATAACCGACAAAGTGCGTTGATCTAGGATTTGGAAGCGCGTCATTTGGTGCGTTGATATAGGCATTCATTTGGCTTCGAGGGCTTCAAAGCCACGTTAAAGCTTTAAGAGTGGTTCCCAAGTCTTTTAATACCGCAATTAATTTTAGTTTTAAAGGAATCGAGGCCGCATACTTTTGAATGGATGTAGAAAGACGTATCATCAGAGTACTGGAAGCAAGTTAATTGCAGCATATTTTGTAGATCGGTAACGTAGAGATTGAATATAACTGGTCACAACATTGATTTGGCAAAGCTAGATTTCTTGTCGTTAATTTAATACCAGGTGTTTCCTATCAGTAAGGTAGTTGATCATCCAGAATAGAAAGTCCTTTAAGAATTGTAGAACTCTTGTTATCGAAACTTTAAGGCGGTGTGCATAGCGTTCGGAAAAACTTTTCCAGCTCCATAATTTTTCTATTTGTCAGCCTATCAAGGCGACGGTCGATATTTCCACAGCGAAGGATATTTCCCTGGTTTATCCTTCCCTGAATTTATCTTGCTATTCATCTTATTGCTGTTGATTATTTATAGAAAACCGAAGCGCATTGCCAAGGTTGAAGCAGTCATCTCCCTTCTTCAAGTGTGTAAATCTTCCTCCACTCTGGTGTGCTTAGCTACGTTAATTCCAAAAACAAGTTGCAACGACCTCACTCTAAGAACAATTGTCTCTCACAACTCTGGTGCTACAATTTCTTGCTAGTATGCTGTTCGCTCGAGGACTGTCACTCGGTACAACTGGGCCTTGAAGGGCGAATCTTTCAGTGTAGGGACTTAGCGACCATTGAGAATTGGACTTATTCATCCTTCATCCTGTCTTCATTCAACCATTGCTACCACTACTACCATACTATACGATTCCGCAGCATTGTGATAAACTGCACATCTGCAGTAGTTCATGCCCACTGGACACAAGACGAAGAGGACCCTGTATCTCTGCTACGATCAGGTGGAAATGAAAACCTCATAGTAAGACAACTCAACATCAATGGCCTGTCAAATAAGTATTTAAGGGGTGGTCGACTTAGCCATACTAAGCATCCATAGATCCATCATAACAATGACATCTTACCGAGATAAGTGGATAAGAAACCAACTCACTGAGGGATGATCCAGACAACTGAGGGGGCAGCGTAAAATTTCAGTAAAAGACCTAATTGAATATCCAGTCCGTAGATGGGATAATCCTGACATAAATGTCACATGCGTCAATATGTAGGTGAGATCAGAATATTTTCATATCGTCTCTATCTTCAGACCCACCAATAATTCTTCGTTCTTTGGAACATTTCGAATTGTGCTTATCTAGACATGGTTGTAACTAAAGAACATTCTTCTTATTGGTGAATTCGATTCTGATTCGTTTTGACAAGAGCGTTAGCTCTTTGTCAGAGCAAGATAGATTGAATGTTGTAGGTCATGGGAGGGCAGGTTCATATGCTAATGTTCTAGCATTAGTGGTAATTAATACACCGCTAGTATAGAACTGTTATTTGCAGTAAGCAAGCTAACAATGAAAGCACGGCAAAAGAAAATGTAAGGTGCAAGTAAATGTAAAATTTCTAAGGTGTCGATTTGAAATTTAAATTTTTGTTCATAGGTTTTGAAGTTTCAAACTTTGCCATGATGGGAGAAAGTTTAAAAGAAGAGATTTTTTAGAAGACCGTATAGCTACTCTACCTTGAGGTCGGCACACCACACTAGCGTCTTCATAATGACCACAGTCGTGAACTCCCCATCCTCTGTGATTGCACTGTGATATTGATGTCTCATCTCCTACACATTTTACCTCATCCAGCCATATCTGACCAGTTCCTCGCTCAAATGCTGCACTTTTTGGAGCTGATAGAGCTCCTTCGTATCCAAGTTGGCGACAAACGACATCAGCGTCCTGTGGTTTCCAGTAGTCGTCACAAATGGTTCCCCATGTACCATTGTAAAACACTTCAACACGACCAGAAGACGTCGAATTGGTGGGGCTCACCAAACGAACTGCCGTAAATGTGAATATATGAATAAGATTTAGCCACACATACACGATGAGCGTTCGTCTAATGATGCTGTTTTGATGCTGAGCCAAAAGCTAACACAAACCTCGTAATTTTTATTGCATTTGACCAGATCGTTCACTTTACTGTAAAGGTAAAAAGTGCAGTAAAACTTTGGTTTATTTGAATTCGCTTTGTTAGCGCCATGAGGTTCGAAAAATGAAAAAAGATTAAAGAAGGAAGTAAAGTTTTTTTTATTATAAGTTATGCAAACTGTAGGAGGTCGAAACACTACTCCAGTGTCTTCATTATTCCCTAACAGTTATGAGCTTCTCATTCTCCATAAGAGAAATGTTGATCGTAACACTGTCGATTACGCAACGTCTTTCTTAGTTTCTGATTACCTCTATTTTCCTTCTCGCCTAGGATGATCATGAGTACTCGTATCGTTACTCTACCTTTGGATTGGCACACCACACCAGCGTCTTCATCATGGTTACAGTTGTGATCTCCCCATCCTCTGTGATTACATTGTGATATTGTTGTCTCAACTCCAACACAATTAACGTCATCAAGCCATATCTGACCAGTTCCTTGTCCAAATACNTTTCACCATTACTCTGAGTTTCACGCAGCTTGCGCTGCGATCGTCAGACGGTTTATTATCGATGGAAAACATACCGTGTTATAAAGTCAATTTATAAATAGAAATTATAGTTAAAATATTAGGAAGCAATTAAGAAGATAAAAGGACTGTTTTTATTGGTTTCGCAAGTAGAACTTGTTTTCATGGCGGCACTTGGAAATTAGTTCTGATCGTTTGTTTAATGAAGTGGATTTGTCCGCGGTGATAATGAGGAATTTTTCGGCAAGGCAGAGGTTGTAGTTCTTTTGTCTTCTTAATTGCTTCCTATTATTTTAACAATAATTTCTATTTATAAATTGACTTCATAGTACGGTATGTTTTCCATCGATAAACCGTCTGACGATCGCAGCGCAGGCTGCGTGAAACTCAGAGTAATGGTGAAACGATCTTCCTGTCAACAATTTATAACCGCTATTGAAACGCTCTGCAACCCGCATCAAGCACTTTCTCACAGCCACGACTTCTCCTAGTCTGTTTTTATATATATTTATAGCTTTTTGGGATTACAAAACTTTGCTTTCATGTTCAAATTGAGCACTAGGATGGGTCATTCCATACAATTGTGCGATGCTCACTAATCAGACTAATCATTACTTTGAGCACTCTGGCTTGGCCTCGATGACACCACAAATGTAAAATTATTAGGTGTGGTCATATGGCTTTACCTAGGATTTGCAATTTCAAGCTTTGTTATGATGCAGAGAAAGTCCAAGTCGGGAAGATCTCCAAAAGAAAGAATAGGAAGAGTAGAACAACTTTTTCACTTCCGCATCAATGCAGTACTGACTAATAAAAGCTTAGATGTAGTTACAACGTGCAAGTAAACCTAAGGTAGAGAATGAATATCCCACGAGTCACACGAATTTTCTCAGTTTACCCATACTCATAATGCCGTTAGGGATGCTCCAGGGTCCACTTTGGCGGAGCTCAGAATTGACACCCGTGATCAACACATTCCAAGCTAAATGCGCCCTCTATTTGTAGAGATGTCATCTCTTGCAACGCTCGATCCCGCAATAAATCACCCTGAAGACAAGTTAGGACTGCCATTAAAGGCTGTAGTTAAACCTTGGAAGAATCGGGAAATGGCGTTGGTCACTATCTTTGGTGGGACTTGAGGGATTGAAAGTCAAAGTGTTTTTCTCTCAAATATGCAACAGCTTTATCGTATTCTGATTAGCTCTACCTTCATTCTTGGTAAAGATGGTAATAAAAAGTGCTCGTATTGTTACTCTACCTTGAGGTCGGCACAACACACTAGCGTCTTCATAATGCTCGCAGTTCTCAACCCCCCATCCACTGTGATCACATTGTGATATTGCTGTCTCAACTCCAACACAATTAATGTTATCAAGCCATATCTGACCAGTTCCTTCTCCAAATGCTGCATTGCCAGGCGCTGATATAGCTCCATCGTATCCAAGCTGGCGGCAAACCACATCCGCGTCCTGTAAGCCCCATGAGTTGTCACAAATGGTTCCCCATGCACCATTGTGAAACACTTCAACACGGCCAGAAGACGACGAATCGGTGGGGCTCGCCAAACGTACTGTTATAAATGTGAGTGTATAGATAAAACTTAGCTAGACATACGTGGTGAGCGTTTGTCTAATGAAACATTTTATAGTGAAATAACATCAGCATTTTGCAAGTCCCAATAGTGTCCGCAAATGGTTCCCCATGCACCCCTGTAAAGCACTTCAACACGACCAGAAAACCGCGAATGGTTGGAATTCAGTAGACGAAGAGCTGTTTTGGTGTGAACAGAAATAATCATTAATTTAAAAAACTTAGGAGGATGTTTAGAAGAATATTGTAACCAAAAAGGGATTCAGCCTCTTAAATCTTCTATGAAAAAGAAATTCAAGTTTCACACCAGCACATCAATCTGGCAAAGAATGCAAACAAAGAAGAAACACGACACTTCAAACTTCCCTAACTCAAGATACATTTGAAATCAATGTGCTCGAGTCCCGTTATAAAAAAAAATATATATTCTGCAGAAGGTCGCTGTTTTTTTATATATTCAATACATAGGTGAGATCAGAATGTTTTCATATCGGCTCTATCTTCAGACCCACCAGTGACTCTTCATTCTTTGGAACATTTCGAAATGTGCTTATCTAGACACGGTTGCAACTAAAGAACATTCTCCTTATTTGCGACTTCGATTCTGATTACAAAGACAATTCAACAAATAAGCTGAATCGTTGGCAAGCTGCATTAATATCTATCATTAAAGTGACTTGTGTAGTGTAGCAAGAGACCAGCGTTTTTGAGTTTCATACATATTTACGCCTTAATGTGAAATTTTTTAGCAGCTTTATAGCAAAAAGCGTAAGCATGTCATTTACAGATAAGTAGCAATGGGAAAGGGTCTAAATTAGGAGAACTAAAACCCCACTTCTCAATAATAATTGCTCTACACAATGCCTTGCAAAGTGCTACCCATCAACGGTATTACTCCGAACTTAATTTTGGTGACTAGGATTGTATTGCTGTTGAATACTCAACGGCTTTCTCATAATCTAATTACTCGGGCTTTCCGGAGGAAACGCCCGAGGTATAAATTCGGCTTCATTTTTTTTCCTTTTTTGCGTTCAGTCACAAAACGTAGTTCCACTAGAGCGCATGCGTGAAGTGTGAGCGCATGCGTAGAATGAACCCTAGAGCGTATGGTTTAAAACAACGGCTGCTTTCGTGGACAATTCCTTACTTGATGTACGCGAAAGAAATTCGATGGCTTTTACGCTCAATATACATGCAAAGTCACACACCGTTCGCGATAAACCCACACTAAAACTTGTGGAGCGTTTTGGGAACGGGTTGGTCCGCGAACTTTACGAGAGATCAATTTACGAGTGATCCTTTACGAGTGAACCTTCTATCGAGGAATTTCAAGCGAAACCTGCTATATCAAAAGAGCTATCTCATGTTATAAAGGCTGATAGTTTCGAAAGAAACTGTTTGGGGCTGCGTCGGTGGGAGTAACGAAATAATTTGGATATATCAACAAAGTTGAAATGGTAAATTGGCCACCGTAACGATCACAAAAGCTGACGTTTCGAGCGTTAGCCCTTCGTCAGAGCTCCGACGAAGGGCTAACGCTCGAAACGTCAGCTTTTGTAATCGTTACGGTGGCCAACTTACCATTTCATCTTTGTTGATATATCCAAATTATCTCATGTTATGTTTACATGTAAACACAACCGTGTATTTAGACGTGATCGAGAACTCAATAGAATACCAGAAGCTACTCTGAAACGTCTCAGAAGAAAGGGCAGAAAACTGAAGGAATTTTTTTATGAACGTTGATTACTAAATTTTGATTACTATGAACGTATTCGTCCAAGGATATCGATGTCATCATGGCCACATCGTTATGTGTAGGTTAGAAGAGTTACAACGAATGTTTGTAAGCTTAATACGAAGAGGGTGAGATTAAATAAGGTCACACAACATGAGAAGAAGTATTTGTTGAATTGTTGTGTGAGGGTCTATCAAAGGATATATTAAATTGAAGTATAGACCCATGTGTCTTTATAAGACTTAGACATAACTATCAAACTATGTAGATTTATTCATGACCGGCAATGACGAAATTGCGTGACAACCGTAACAATGGCAATATGGCAGTCCCCTAAAGATAACTCCAGATGTGCGATATTGAAAGCTCGAGTTCACGCAGCTATGCATCTAGTTAGTTCTAATATCATGCTTGGCAAATAGGGAAATAACAAGTTCCTTTATAGCTACTCTACCTTGAGGTCGGCACACCACACTAGCGTCTCGATAATGCTCACAGTTCTCAACTCCCCATCCACGGTGATTGCATTGTGATATTGCTGTCTCAACTCCAACACAATCAACGTCATCAAGCCATATCTGACCAGTTCCTTCTCCAAATACTGCACTACCAAGCGCTGATAAAGCTCCATCGTATCCAAGCAGGCGACAAACCACATCCGCGTCCTGTAAGTCCCATGAGTTGTCACAAATAGTTCCCCATGTGCCATTGTACAACACTTCAACACGACCAGAAGACGACGAACTAGCGGGACTTACCAAGCGTACTGTTGTAAATGTGAGTATATGGATAAATCTTAGCTAGATATATGTGGTGAGCGTTCGTCTAATGAAACATTTTATGGTAAAGCAAAAGCCAACATAAACCTCTTAGTTCTTATTAAATTTGACCAGAACGTTCGATGGACTGTAAAGAAAATATGTGCTGAACAACACTGGAAATACTTTCAGTTGTAAAAAGGTACAGAAAAACCTTTCATTCACTTCACTCGCTTTTGTAGCATCATATGGTTGGAAAAAAGAAAAAAATGGGAGAAGGAAATATGGTCCGTTTGTCCTAGCTTATCTACGCTGTGCGAGTGTCGTAGCCTCAGTTACAGATCGACGAACGATTCGAGCGTCTTCGTTATTCCTACAGTTATGGGCTTTCCATCTTCCATGATGGAAGAATTAATTGCAACGGCTTTCTCATATTTTGATTGGTTCTATTTCCATTCTTGGTAAATATGGTAAAAAAATTTATGGCATTGTTACAGTTGTACTGTACCTGAGGGTCGGCAAACCACACCAGCGTCTTTGTAATGCCTACAGTTAACTCCCCATCCTCTGTGATTGCACTGTGTTATGGATATCTCATTCCCCACACAGTGGACGTTAGTCAGCCATATCGGACCAATTCCTTGTCCAAATTCTCCATTTCTAAACGCTGATATGGCTCCATCGTAACCAAGCTGGCGACAAACAACATCAGCATCTTGCAAGTCCCAATACTGGCCGCAAATGGTTCCCCATGTACCCCCGTAAAGCACTTCAACACGACCAGAAAACGGCGAATTGTTGGAATTCATTAAACGAAGAGCTATTTTGGTGTGAACAGAAATAAAAGTTAATTTGAAAAAACTTAGGAGGACGTTTAGAAGAATATTGTAACCAATAAGGGATTCAGCCTCTAAATGTTTTATGAAAAAGAAATTCAAGTTTCACACCAGCACATCATTCTGACAAAGAATGCAAACAAAGAAGAAACACGACACTTCAAAATTCTGTAACTCAATATGCATTTGAACTCAATGTGCTCGAGTCCCGTTATCCAAAGAAAATATTCTGCAAAAGGTCGATGTTTTTTACCAAGAAAATAATAATGATAATGATGTTTTATTCATATTCTCCATGATTACAAAGAATATGGCTCTTAACTTGTAAAATTCAAATATACCTGCAGTACTAATAACTATAAATATAGGTACCTATAATAGTTACAACTCAAACAAATGAATTTAAAAAACATATATATATATATATGATGTAGTTCAATTTTTTCTTTGGTTTAATTTTTTTTAAACTTGTTTAAAAACTTTAAACTGGTTTAGAATTTCAAACTGGTTTAAAATTTTTAAGCGCACAGCTTATTCTTATTTATTTGATGTTTTACTTGTAAAATGTACTCTTTATAAAATAAAGCTGTGTTTTTAAGGTGTCCATATTTTAGCAAATGTTCACTTTACTGGTTGGAGTTAAGATTAGGGCTAGGGTTGGGGTTAGGGTTAGGGAATGTATTGCAGCATTGTATTCAAGCTAGAAAACCTTGAACTGTTTGAACAAGTCTAGCTTTTTTTTTCTTTAAAAGTACTGAAATAATGTTTTTGCCACACTTAAATTTTAAAAAACCATTCTTTCGTAAATAGTTAGTCAGTTCAGGCCAGCCAAAGGGCCGACAAGGTCCTTTGTCTTAAAGATTTCCTTAGAACAAAGCTCGCGCATGTGTACTGAAGACATTACCTGCGTACCCCTGGTAAGATTTTGACCAAGATTAGTGTATGACACATGGTGTGCACTCGAGCTGAGTATCATCACACATAACCGACAAAGTGCTTTGATCTAGGATTTGGAAGCGCGTCATTTGGCGCGTTGATATAGGCATTCATTCGGCTTCGAGGGCTTCAAAGCCAAGTTAAAGCTTTAAGAGTACTTCCCAAGTCTTTTAATACCGCAATTAATTTTAGTTTTAAAAAAATCGAGGCCGCATACTTTTGAATGGATGTAGAAAGACGTATCATCAGAGTACTGGAAGCAAGTTAATTGCAACATATTTTGTGGATCGGTAACGTAGAGATTGAATATAACTGGTCACAACATTGATTTAGCAAAGCTAGATTTCTTGTCATTAATTTAATACCAGGTGTTTCCTATCGGTAAGGTAGTTGATCATCCAGAATAGAAAGTCTTTTAAGAATCCTAAACTGTGTATTTTAGTGAGCTAAGACAGACTGGGACTGAACAGTATCACATGCTTTCTATAATCTGCGCACATCATCAGATATTCCAGCTGTTTTCCACACCTTTAAGAAGCTCGCGAACGTGATGCAGGTGTTTAGACTGTGCGTTAAGGGACTTCGAAGATTCTCCTTCGTCAACTTTACAAATGATTGGCATCTGATCTATACGGGATGGGGTGTCAGGTCAGTGATGGGGAAGGCCTTTAGTTCACGCATGCTCCTACAGGGAATAGACAAACTAAAAAAGGTCCAGCATTTTCTCTGGCTTAGTCCCTGGTATTTTTTCGTTGGTCGTACTTAAGAAATTATTAAGTTTATCTGGATCTTCTTCAAGGGGCTTAGAGATTGGATTAAAAAAATGCGATGAATTACTTTCCACACCTACTTCGGTCTTTTTATTTTATTTTTGATCCTATTACTCATCACTTAAAAAATCTGCAGCCCCCGTATCTCAGTCGCATTCATTCATGGTGCAGAAGGCGTGTTACTTTGACCTTATTAAGAGACCCTCCCTTTTGATGCATTCACTAGCCAGAATTAGTAGCCAAAGTAAAAAGTAGCCAAAGTAGCCAAACAAAATCAAGCTCCATGGATGACTGTGAATATTTTACAAGCGCTTCGCAGAAGGGATTCTTTACTACGTAAAGCAAGGCAAAGTCGTTGTGTCACGGATTGGAACTGCTTCAAAATTGCGAGGAATAAAGTTGTAAACATGATTCGCAGTGCGAAATATAAATACTATAACACCTGTTTCAACAACAACAAGGGAAACTCTAAAAAGATCTGGAAAACCATAAAATCGCTAATGGGCGATGTATCAAAATCAGTTGAGACGCCAAATGTTGTTTTGGCTGAAAAGTTTAATGATCACTTCACTTCAATTGCTGATTCACTGAGGAATCTACTACCTAATGTACCTTATTGCAATTCAAAGGTTGAAAACTTTGTTTGTTCAAGAAAAGATCCGGATGTTCTTTTCAATATTCCTCCTGTTACTAAAGATTTTGTGCTGGGTGCTCTGTTAGGACTCAAAACTTTGTTTCCTTACCCATAAC